TTGAGTGACAAAATCACGATTTTTAAATGGTGGCGGACTTTTAACTAGAACAAAAAAAAATTATAATATTTTTTAAATAATTTATAGATTTATTCTAACTGGAATAATATCCAATATCGCTATTTGGTTGGACTGTACAAATGTCAGCACCTTCCAACATAGCTGTATCCCATGTTGAACGAAATTCACTATCATGTAAAACATCATAAAGTAATTCCGCTGATATATCATTAAATTCTGATTGAACCTAAATAGGATAATAAATGTGGTTATTAATCAATTGAATTATGTTTTCTTACACGAACAACATCAAATGCGGATAAAGTATTTTTCTTTGTTGCTACACGACATGCTGATTTATCATAACATACTGTCCATCCATCATCTGTAGTACATTCATTTTTAAAATGTTTAAAATCCTGGTCATCCGGTAAAAACACTTCACCCACTTTCATCATTTTTGTGTCCCTTAATGCGAACAAAAACACGCGTATATCGATAATAATAACTCAAGCTTGACGAAGTTTTTTCGTTGATCATTGGTTATACGATTATATACGATTTACACATGTGTGAGAGATTAGATCAATAATAAATCACCATATCCACTTGATATTTTAATACTTACAAAGAACAATATTCACATATATTTTCTTTAAGATACTTATGAATTAATAATAATTTTTTATTAATTTTAAACTTAATAAAAATTTATGAGAGACATCTTTTGATTATAATGATAGGTTTTTTCGTAAGCTATCTACCGTGTCAACCTGACATTTGTATTTCTCATACTATTTACCTTTCACTCTAAAAGATAGTGATTACAAACAATCGATAGTCGAAAAGATTTATTAGGATCTCTCAAACTAACGTGTCTTAAAAGTTGTTTTTTTTCCATTGTATAACTGTGTATTTTATGCATATATAATCATTTTGCAATTTCAAGTTACTAAAAAAAGCATTATATTGATTACAGTATATGAGCGATATACGATTCTCTGATGTATACAAATATTCGAATATAATTATAAAAGTAAATCTGTATTAATTAATTGAACAATATAGCAGTAGTCGTTAATATGAGAAACCATATTGATTGAAATTCAATAATTGTTCGACTTCTACTTGTTATTATTTTCTTCTGGAATGATAATCGATGTCGTTACTTGATCAGAATCTTCTTCGCTTATCGAATAGAACTTCTGATTGTTTTCATTATCATTCACATATTGTTTATATCCTAATGGTAATAAAATTCTTGATTCAGGTAAACGTTTCGGTACTGGTAGAAGAGCTGGTGTAATAGGATGTTTTAAATCATAACATTGCTGCGAGATAGAATCACAACTTGAAATAATTTTATTGATCAGTGAATCAATCGAATTATGTAAGTTTGTATTTGTCTTACAATACTTGTGAAAGAGTGTTATATTATCATTCTTGATTTCGTTTCTTGCGAGTTCTTTTGGTACACAACAATAAGTTGAAAGATCGAGTTTACTTCTTGAATTTGATATATGATCAGAATGATGTGCTGTTGTAGTAGTAGTATGTACACAATGATGAAATATTGGATCACAACAAGCACATGGGAAGAAGTCAGATGAATTACAACTAGTAGTAATGAATTTAATTCTAACTGAAAGTAAGAAAACAAAAAAAATATTTAGACGAAAAGAATGAACTACTAAACTAGGCGCAAAATATCATAAGTCGTCGGATCTTGAATTTGAGTTTATTCAAGTGTAGATTCACATAGATAAATGTTATCTATCAGTATGAAACTTTAAGATATATAAGTTCAAATCTGTATATCTAATACGAATCATCTCGGTTTGTTTATTTCACAGAATAAATAATGATCATTAAATTGTCGTATTTATTTTCGAATAAATAAAATTTGAATTGCTAATTTTATTTCTTTTTCCTTCAATAAATCATTGAATAGTTAAATGTTTTTTTATTTAGTAAGATTTGTATAGACTAATCTACAATAACTCATTCTCTTAATACATTGATTCATCGTGTCCTTGTCGGATCATGTAGAAGGATAAAATTTGGATCACTTTAATATATATGATACGGTTTTTTTTTTATTATTTGTCTTCGATGAACTCTTCGTTTAAAGTACTGTATAACAATTTTCATCTTGAGAAATCTTTTGAAAATAATATGTATAAAATTTCGTTAGTTATGAAGGTCAACATCTTCGTTTTAATACACGAAGTAATGTCGAAGAGAACTTTCTTTTTATACATACATTCTTTTTTTTGCTTATGTATATGTCCTTTAGTTTTTTTTTCTCTCTCTCTCTCTCTTTATATAACTACAAGTTTATTACACATACACACGCCTCAAACTCAAAATTGTATTGCACATTTTTTTTCTCTCTTTCCTGGCATTTTTTTATGTCTTTTTATATACGTTGTCATCGCATCACCGTCATTTTAATTTCTTCTCGTTTCTTATCTGTGATAGACGACCCGCACCAATACTTTACATTTTTTTTTTCTGCCAGCAGTGGTAAAGGTGAGAGTAATATACACGCGTAGGTAAAAGAAAAAAAAAAAGTTCTAAAAGAACACAAAAGAAAAAATTGACAGAAGAATAAGAATAAGAAAAATGAACATGCTTGACATTCAAGGCCGTACTAACAGAGAACTAGTAAGAGTGTATAGTTATATAACGAAAAAGAAGAAAAACTTCTGAACACGAATAAGGTGAGACATTTTGATTGCTTATCATCAATAACTTACATTCATCATTTTTTACTACGTTTATTTTCGATTGCAAATAGACATCACAGATTTTAGATAAGCAAAGAATATTTTTCAATTAGAACTATGGAGAAAAATATATAATTTTGTTTTTCTTCTTCAGATATAAATTTCATCATGGCTACTAAACCTAAGAAAGTTACATATAGAGATCCAGCAGACGATAATGCTGATTATCTTGTACCTGTACGATATGATTTACCAAATCGAACAAAATCAGTACCGCGAGGTGGATATTTAGGTTCTATTTATCTACCTATTTCACTTCTTCTCTATGTTGGTGTACCTATTTCACAATTTGTAATTGGTCTTATTTATGTTGGTCGATGTACAATTCGACAATTTATATCTCCATATATGATTCTTAGTGGCGCATTTGGTATTGCTTTTGTAATTGTTGGTTTAATTATATTTATGCAAGTTACGAAACAATCATCATTATCTTATGAAAGTCCTCGACCAAATCCAATGATATTAAAAATTCTTTTTCCAACATTTATTTTTCTTTTTCTATTCGTTATTGGATGGTTTATTGCTGGACAAGTTATTGTCTTTGAAGTTAAATTAGATGTCGAATTTTTTGATCCAGTATTACCGGAATATTGTCATGGTAATTTGTACAAAGCTGCATATATACTTATTTTCGTAGATTATCTTCTTGCTCTTATTGCTATTATATTATTCGCACTCAATCGTGTTTCACCACCAGAAACAGCTGATACTAAGAAAACAAAACGTCCAGTTCGTAATACACGAAAATAATCAAAGGTTTTCCTTTTTTTTGTATTTGTAGAAATATTTATGTGTTATTTGTATTCTTTTTTTGTCTTTGCTAAATTCAGTATCTATACAGAACAGAAATATAAAAACAGTGTTGATGTGTTAATATTTAAATTCTATTATACACATATATGAAATGTCATGGTGTCAATTGTATATGAACCAGATGCTACGTTTATTGATATGAATTATATCTGGTAAAGTTACATATTAATTGAACAAGTCATTTTTATATACAATCTATGACTGATTTACTTATTACGTATATTGACATCATCAAATAATATTAAAATGTAAATTTTGTGGAAAGATAAAAGAATTTTTTTGATTGTATTATATAATCTGATATTAAAATGTTTCAGATATTGAAGCCATGAAGAAATATGAATATCTATAGCGATTGTTTAGTTTAATAATATAACATAGATTCTTAATATCTTATTATTACTTGTTAATATACAAGTGAAAACCGAGCTTTGCAACTATTTGATTATTCATGATTATAATTATAGGAAAAAATATTTGCAGCAAGCAAAGAATAAAAGAATGTTTCACTAATAAATCTAGTAGAGTATTCATATTGTATAAATGATCATGTTGATGTTGTGTCTAGTAGTATAATTGAGTTTATATGATAACTCTTGTCTGATTTGTATAATTTATCATGAAGCATATGAAATAGATGTTAGTGACAGGCTTCATTTGAGTACTATGTATATAGATATATAGAAAATGTATTATCAATAGAAAGAGATTTGTTTGTCGACATAAATATATATATATATATACAGTATCTAAGCTTTATGTTTGTTTGAAGAACAGATTGATGATAATACAAGAAACCATCTACAAGCGACCTCTTCTATATTGTTCAATAGAACGACTATCATCGTTGAACAAATGAGCCATTCATTATCCTTGAGTATTGATAATTGAAAGGAGTACTGTTACATTGAATTGAACCTTATTCTTTTTTCTATTATAACTCGCATCATTTTCAATCTTTTTCTTATTGCTTCATCGCTTTATTGATGATTGATAATTGTGTGTGTTTGATAGTTGAGTTGTATGCATACACACACTCGCAACTATCCGCTTTCTTCTTCTCCTCTTCTCTCTCTCTATCTTATTCTCATCATTGCTCTATTGTTGAGTGAAGAGCATACGAAACACTGATAGCCGTACAAACAATACAACAAAAAAAAAGCCTCTCTCCATTGACTAGTGAGTTTATCAGAACAATAGATTGATTATCTTCATTTTAATATAGAAATATAAATAAAAATGGCATCATCTTTTGCATCATTTTTTGCAAAAGATAAAGTAAGAAATAATATATTATTAAATATTATTCGATATTTCTTGTTTTATTTATAGACTTTTCGACCAAAAAAGAAATTTGAGCCAGGTAAACATTATATTTAATAAAAATTATGATAGAAAATTTTGTTTTCAAAAGGTACAATGCGTTATTCACTTCATAAACAAGCAAGTGCTTCATTAAAATCAGGTCTTGATTTAAAAGAAATTGTTAAATTACCTGATAATGAAGATGAAGATGATTGGATTGCAGTACATGGTAAGATTCAAAAACAAATGATATGTCTATCGGAGTTCGTATTGACTTTGTTTCATTTATTTGTAATCAGATTACGCTACAAATCAATAGTAAAATTACGAATTGTATTTAAAGCTCCGTACAATGTTTACATAATGATGAACACCATAAATATATATTTTTTCTAAAGTTTAAAATTTCTAAGGAGTTATAAATGATTAACCCGTAGAAGTTCATACTTTATTGTTTTATATAACAGGTGGGCGGCGCCCAGCCGAAATTTCGATTCGCCCACGCCCCAATAAACGATACTTAGACAAAACACCGCCCACCCGAAATTTTGGGATATTAATTTTTTACTCCTATGATTTATTTTAGTGGTTGATTTTTTCAATCGAATCAATCTTGTTTATGGCATTGTAACTGATTATTGTACTCCTGAAAGTTGTCCAACAATGTCTGGTGGTCCTCGATATGAATATAGGTCAATATAAAAATAGATTTTGTATTAAATTTCAATATAGAATTTATCATTTAGATGGTGTGATGGTATAAAATATAAGAAACCAACATCATTAAATGCACCTAAATATATAACATTACTTATGGAATGGGTTGAGACAATAATTAATGATGAATCAATATTTCCTGTACAAGTTGGAACACCATTTCCCAAAAATTTTCGTTCAACTTGTAAAAAATTACTTTCACGTTTATATCGAATATTTGTTCATGTTTATGTACATCATTTTGATCGTATAATCGATTTACAAGCGGTAATATATTATTATTATTTCTATTATTGGTATATTTTTTTTATTATTATAGGAAGCACATGTTAATATGTGTTTTAAACATTTCTGTTATTTTTGTCATGAATTTGATTTATTAAAAAAAGAAGAAATGGCACCATTAGTAAGATAAATCGATTTCTTAAGTAATATTATTTTTGAATTTTTAGTTTGAAATGACCAATCGATTATGTCCGGAAGTACTTGGTGTTGTTAAATGAAGAAGATTATTATTATGTGATTCTATTTAAAGATTTTTATTTTCAATTATTAAATCATTCTAATTGTATATATCTAATTAAATAAATTTACTGAAATATTCTTGATGAATAGTTAGTTGTTTTTAGTCTAATATCTGTGAAGGTGAAATAGAAAATACGATCAAATTGGTTACTTGAATTTGTAAAGGAGAGAATTCTATGATGCGTTCATAATAGTATCTGACACGGACTATTAGGAAATTGATCTTAAATATACAATGATCCGAAAAATTCTTGGCACATTCTAAATTAATGTTCTTTTGACATATTAAAATGAAGAGAAGCTATAATGTTGAGTAAGTACTATGCAATGAAATCTACTAACAGTCTATAATTAAACATTTTTTCCTACTGATTTATTTGTAATTCCGTATTCGGAAATCATAGGAAAGTAAAATGAGTAAGCCATTTTTTATGCTTATGCTATTCTATGAATATTTAAGAGATGTATTGATATAGAAGTTCGCCTTCATCTCTGTTCCACAAAGAAGGACATCTTCTTCTGAAATCAATCAATTTAATTACGAAAGTTATTCTTTGTAGAAGTCACATATTACTACGAAAAAAAGTCTCTTAACAAATTGACTAGATGTGTCTTCTTCATAATTTCATAAACTTTATTACATGGATTGTCTTCAATAGTACAACTAATTTAATAAAATATCGTAAATGTATGACAAAAGAAGAAACGACAAATTATCAACACGCCAACTTTGAAAGTTGTTAAGAATACACACATATTCGTATTATCTATATCTAGTAGCTCAATTATAATCATATGATAGTAATAGTGTGTATTTGACACGTTTATTATCGATTACCTAGAGCTATATTGATCGTATCTATTACAAGCAAGACTTATTTATGAACAAATATTAGATAATTCTTATTTAGTGGTCACACTAATTTCAAAGAATGATATAGACATTCATTGAATATACTCTTCGACAGTCCGAAATAAATAAGACTAGTACTAGTTAATATATATTTTTACATACAGAAATTCAATTGGCCCAGGAGCCACTTAACAAATTAGATTTAACATGAGACCAAAAACACTTATCGATAACATAAAAGATCTTTTTATCCGAAATCAAATTTTCGTTATAATACGTTTCAATATAAAAATATAAATTTTTGTTTTACCTTGTATGTTAATGTTACATGTCGAAGGAAGATAATATTTTAGCATAGGAATTAGAAATAAAATATTATTATACAGACATCTTTATTTAGTTATATTAAGGCAATTTGAGAATTATTTTTCTAGCATATCGTTCATCAATAACTTGTTTGTTTGGAATATCATATCTCATATATTTCTTTTCTACGCATGTTTTCCCATACACATTCAGATAAACACAATCATCTTCTTATATATCTTATGAAAATAGACGATGAATAAGAATAACATCGTAATCAGCATCATAGTGTTATCTTTTCACAGTAGCCGAATACAATAAACTACATGTGTATGTCTATTAACAAAGGGTTGTGATTTTCGAACGAACACATCACTTCATAGTGACTTAAAAGTCAACATGAGTTTATCAAATAGAAACTCATCTTTGAACTTGTTTGCCTTATAAATTAGTCTATAGGAACATATGTATTTTTCATATTGACATGTCTAATTATTTGTCCTATTTCCTATATATGCGGTTTATTTCATCTTTTTTCTTTTCTAACTGAACATAATGAATATATCAAATAACATGAATGAAATATTCATTTAAATCAAAAATAACAATCATCAACATTGTCTAACAAAAATATCATTAAAAACGAATTTTATGAGTTCAATCACCTTCTTTCCTTCCTTCCTTCCCCTTTCACAATAAAAAATTCATCTGTTTTCTTACTGATTAAAATCAGCTATCAATAACATCACGTTATGTAAACTTCCGCAATCAAACTCTTAAATATCATTCATACATTATTTTTATTTTAATCGAAAATACAATTCAATACATATATATTTATACATATACAATACAATACTGTTCATTGTGTTTTGAAATATAAATAAATCAATGAGAAAAATACAAAAACAAAAAAGTTTAATATTCATTTTCAACATCGATCATATCATCTTCATTTTCATCGTCAACAATTGATAACGATTGATTTTGTGAATATGTTGATGATGATGAAGAAAAATCTAGTGGTAATTCATTATGATGTGTACGAATATGTGATCGAAGATTACAAGATAAAGAGAACTTTTTTGTACAATATTGACATTCAAATGGTTTTTGTCCACTATGAATAAGAAGATGATTTTTAAGATTGGTTTGTTTCGAAAATCCTCGTGTACATATTGAACATCGAAATGGCCATGTACCATTATGAACATGTGAATGACAACGAAGATCACCTGGTGTTGCAAAACTCTTCGAACATTGATTACATTTATGAGGTTTTTCCTATAATAAAAAAATAGTCAATAAATATCGAAATGTATAGAAATTGAAATCAAAATCTTACTTTGCTATGTGTTAATTTATGATAATAAAGATTAGATGAAGCAGTAAAACATTTATGACATATTTCACAAACATGAGGTTTTTCACCAGAATGAATTCGACGATGTGTATTCAATGATGATGATGTTGAAAATGCTTTTGTACATACATCACATTCATGTGGTTTTTCACCTATAAAAATAACAAAAAAACAGTTTAGATTTATTCAACCTTTTTGTTTGTTTCATATTGATCTTACCAGTATGTGTACGAATATGTCGAGTTAACAATGATGGACGATCAAATGCTTTTGGACACATTTCACATTGCCACATTCGTCGTTCTTTTGGTTTATTTATTGTTGAAATATTCATAAGAGTATTTGTTAAAGATTGAAGAGGTGATCTTCCACTTTTATTTGTTGATGATGATGATGATGCAAGAATCTGGTCAATCATAAATGACATGATTGTTTGTGTTGTAATATCTGTTTGTTGAAAAGCGATCAAGTGTGTTATGTCAGAATGAACATAATATTACGTAGTCAACAATCATATATATACATACATAGATCGATCGTTCTCTTTCTCTCTCTCTCATCATGATTTACTTTTACTCTTCTATGTATAAGACAGTTGATTTTTCGATTGTCAAGAAGTTATTCTCAGTTGGTGATGGAAATATTCGTTCGCCTGACCAGAAATAATTAGATGTTCATGTCTTTTCATTTTCAATTAGAATTTCAAGTAGTTTTGCTGATGTTCATCTTGAGCGGCACATTTCTATTATTTTGTGTTGTCTTTCGATTCGAGATGTCATCTTGCTCATGTCTCTTTTGATGAAGAAAAGTAATTGTCGCCAGCGGGTTACTGCTCATCGTTCATGTCGATCTTTTTTAGATCAAACATTAACAAGCGAAAAGAAAAGGTGTCAATGCATGACATAAGTTGTTTATAGAATATATTTCATTGCCGAACGTTTTTTTTCTAGCTAAATAAAAAAATCCAATATAACGTTTTTATTCGATACTGTCGATCATCTTTCTCACAATCAAACATCAAAACATTTATAATCATGATGATAATGCATATGCGAAAATTTTTCTTCTTCATAGACACAGGGGAGATAACAGATGGACTCAATATGAGCCAATGTGTCAATCGATTGAAAACATACACATATGGGGATAAAAGAACAATAAAGGTGATGGTTAATCTCATCAGACTTGATCGTTTGCACATTTATGTTTTATAGCTCGTCATCACCTATTCCGATCGAATTGAAAAAACATCATAGAATAAAACGACTATAGACCAATTAACACACGAAATACCATCGTCATGATTCCATTAGTTTTTTCTTTGCCGATGGGTAATATCCAACAGAGATTGAAATAGGGATAAGCTAATTTTCAATAGAAACACCTGCCAATGTACATCTCACAGTATGAGAAGTACTCTCTTCAGTCATCTACTTGACTTCATTTTTCATTCTATACAGCTTAAGTTATACACTTGTTGTAATAGTGATGGATAATTATAATGTGTCTGAGTATAAGAGCTCATCAGTGTTAAAAATAGGCAATTATATGAATCACTTTTCTATATTCACATGTGAAGAAAAAAAGATTAATACAATGAAAAAATCAAGTTTATTGATACAAATATTCGATATTAAATGAAAGAAAAAAGGAAATCATTTGGTTTTACTATCGCAACAGTTGCTACTGTTATCTGATCGCGATTTTTTTGATGCAATTATGTTACGTGGTTTCTCCAATTTATTCAGTGGTTGTTTTAAAAGAACTTTTTTAGCAATATTCATGAATATTTCGTGTACATTTTCACCACTTTTTGCTGATGTCTCCATAAAAATAAGTCCATTTACTTCTGCATATTCATTAGCTTCTCGCATATCAACTTCACGTTTTTCTCCTATGGCGAGATCAGCTTTATTTCCTACTAAAGCAATCACCATATTAATATTATTCGTTTGATATAATTCTGTAACCCATAATTTTGCTCGATGAAATGACGCAGCACTTGTTATATCATAGATAATTAAACTTCCTGCAGCATCACGGTAATACATAGGAGCTAAAGCATGGAATCTATTGATAAAAACAAAAGTATTCTTTTTATACGAATAGGAAAAGAAGAGATATACCGTTCTTGACCAGCTGTATCCCAAAGTTCAATTTTCATTGATGAGTCATCATCAATTTGTAACGTGTGGGAAAAAAAAGCAGCACCAATAGTACTTCCACCATGTTCATAATATTGTCCTTTGACAAATCGTAGTGCTAAAGACGATTTTCCTACATATGTTTCACCTAATAAAACCATTTTGAATGGACCAAAATAATTCATTTTTTATATTTACTAGAAAAAAAACAATCTGCATTAAATAATGACATAATACTGTTCTTTACATGTGTTGTTTTATATGCTGTTCGATGAATCATGTATATACATTGTTTGCTTAACTTCTTATCATTGACAAAACGAAGAGAAAAAGAAGCAATCGAGAAAAAAAAAACAAAGAAGATTCATTCTCTTTCTCGGAATATATTTTATAATTAAATCGCACTTTTATTTGAAAAAAAAAGTATTATAAAAAATATATATTTTAATGATATAAAAATTATTAATTTTCGTTTAATACACTGGATCTTGTTGGATCAAGTTGTACTGAATCATATCCTGCTTCAATGTAATCTTAATTTAAAAAAAATATAGAATTTCTTTTTTTTGTAACATATAAACCTTGTTCGAGAGCAGCTAAATCTTCTCGAGCTTCTTTAAATTCATTTTCTTCCATTCCTTCACTGATATACCAATGAATAAATGCTCGTTTTGAATACATAAGATCAAATTTGTAATCTATTCGTGCCCATGCTTCAACTAACGCTGTTGAATTTGCTAAACCAACAGCCGAACATCGAACAGGGGCAAGATCACCATTGGGAACAAATGATGGTAAATATGAAGCTATATAGAAAAATTAGCAGGGGAGGGGACAACAACCACTGAAATTCACTCAACTGTAACCAATTTTGAATGCTGTCGGGCACCTACAATTAAATTACCAACAAAGCTGACGTCATACTTTCACAATATTATACACGAATAATGAAATATGTGGAACAGTTATGGTTGGTGGCTTTTTTCCTGTGTAACTATGGGAGAATATATAAAGCATGATCGAAAACAAAAATATCAATATCAAAAACAATTTATTGCCATTTGACAATTGCAACCACAATTCAACCAAATATGGTTACTGCTCGTGCAAATCGTTCTTCCTCTTCGCCACCATCGCAAACATTGTGTATCTGTTTACCGCAAACGCTGTACATCACGATACCACAAAATGCACACAGTCCTGGACCTAAAGATGATCGAGTCTCTCCATCACATTCGATTCGGATTGCTTCATCACAATTGTCTCGAATTTCTCCAACACAATCAACTCATATCAGTACATCAGAAGTAACTCACATATCTTCATCACAGACACCGATCAATTCGGGAATGCAAGCAGTGTACATCACTCTAGCACCACCATCGGACCTTCCTCGGCCAAAATCAGTTCGTACTCCAACACTACAAACAGGTCGCAAGTCCACACTGCAAACAGGTCGTAGCCCTACACCACGAACAGGTCGTAGTCCTACACCACAAACAGGTCGTAGCCCTACATCAGAAACAGGTCGTAGCCCTACGCCACATAAATCCCATACCCCTTTATCACAGACAGGTCATAGTGATACACATACCCCTTCACCACCAACAGTTCATAGTGATGCATCGCCCAAAGAGCGTACCCCTACACCACAAACAGTTCATACTCATACATCTCAGAAAGA